GACAGTGAGATTGAAGTTTGAAGTTCGAATAACGGACCAACATCATAGCACACGGGTAGGAACCGATAAGTGTTCCGTTCTTCTTCCAACTCAAGTCTGAGTCTGAAGGAGCACAGCACAGTGCACAGGCTCTGTAGCACTGGCGACGATCCTGAAAACTTTGGGTAGATTTTAAACTCGTAACTGTGCCGTGGCCAGGCAGCCCTCGTTAGGCTTCTCGTTTCGATTTCCAACTACCAAATATTTTTTAAGTGCGTAACAAAGCACCCGGGCGTCCAATCTCACTATCCAGAGACCAGAGGGAATTACTAGAAGTCCAAGTCCACGTGAAAAATTTCCAGCCCTTACCAGGGAATGAACCCGGAACCTCCTGCACACAAGGCAGAAACCAAGCCCCGAGACCACGCAGCCAGACTTTTATGAGGATTTTATGAGGAGCAATGGGCTCGAGAACTTAAACCACCTGGCGAGATTGCTGGACAGAGAGAGAGCAGAAAACAGATAAAATACCTTGATAGCTTGGCCGCACGGATGGGGCGAGAAAAGAACACTGACACTATTTGTGATTCCGCTGATCGTGTGAGGCTTCGAAACAAGACATCTTACGCATACCGGTATCGCATATGATGATGATGATGCATTACCCTTTTTGCGTCATTGGAAAATGAATGAAATCTACAATACTGAGCATCTAGACTTGTTCATATTATTCCGGAAGCTTGCAAACATGCTATAAATGAACTACACATATTGGAAAATACACAATATAGATGTGACGGTTTTATTTGTAAATGGTTGGTTCTGTATGTAAACAAGTGTTTGTGATCTTTACTTGAGCGTAAGTAATAAATGTCCTTCGTTTTCTGTTTTTTCTTTTTCTTATGTTTCTTCTTTTCTTCTTCTTCTTCTTTTTCTTCTTCTTCTTCTTCTTCTTCTTCTTCTTCTTCTTCTTCTTCTTCTTCTTCTTCTTCTTCTTCTTCTTCTTCTTCTTCTTCTTCTTCTTCTTCTTCTTCTTCTTCTTCTTCTTCTTCTTCTTCTTTCTTTTTCTTCTTCTTCTTCTTCTTCTTCTTCTTCTTCTTCTTCTTCTTCTTCTTTTTCTTCTTCTTCTTCTTCTTCTTCTTCTTCTTCTTCTTCTTCTTCTTCTTCTTCTTCTTCTTCCTATTCTTCATGTTCACCAGCTCTAAACTCTAGTGGAAAGTTTTAGTTGTTCATCCACTTCTGGACTGCAATCCTGTTCCAGAAACTGAGTGTTGCGCGTGCATCCGTTTTACAGATCTGACTCATTTGTTTGCACACTGCTGGTTCCATACCTCTCAGGCAGATGCAATCTAACTTCGAAGAGAACTCCCAATTAGTTGATTCTTACATGCTTTTGGGTAGGCAGTGGGTCTATTCTTGTTTTCCCTATAATAGCGCTGGGTACCCACACAGGGAGCTTAAGTAATAAATGAAAAGCATTTCTAGACTGTCCCAAATACACCGCTGAATAAATTGAAAAAAAAAGTGAAGTTTATACTAGAGACAACATAGCAGAAATAGAGAATTTATTTCAAGCGAACGGAAGAAGAAGAAGATTTCAAACTTATAGGCAGTTCTACTTGTTCTCCTCCTCCTTCTCCTCCACTTCCTTTCCATACTTAATTGTAATAAACAAACAGACAATGGATCGATATGCACTCATAGAAAGAAGTATAAAGATAAAAGAACACACTGAAACATAACAATAGAAAGCCGTAAAGGAAATCGAGCCTGTCACCTCCTAATGGCGTGGATGCCTCGCTATGTGTGTTCTTTCATCTTTCTTCTTCTTTCTATGAGTGCCGATCGATGCATTGTCTGTTTGTTTATTGAATTTAACATATTTATACAGTCTCAAGGGCCCCCCTTTGTTTATTTATGTGAATGACCTTTTCATACTTATACCACCTCCTCATCATTCTTCTTTTACTACTGTCGTTTCCCTAAAATATCTAACAGAGATCATCAGTCAATTTTAGCTTGCTGGCACTTTTTTATTTTCTCCTCAGAAAGTTTCTTATTAGACCAGCATTATGTTCTTCCTTCTTCATTTTCTAACTTAGCTGAACTGTTTTAATTATCCATACAGTGCTTCAATGTTACAAGCCATGGAATTTTGTTCACGATCTCTTTAGAAAAACTTCAGTATTTCATACAGGTTTTCACATTTATTTAATGTTGATCTGCCATTGTCTGTGAAGGTACCCAGTTTGGTTCCAGCTGTAGGTCATTTGACTGCAGACCGCCTTGCGTTGATTTCGAAAATGGTTTCGATAGTCGACTTTTCGTATTCAATGGGAACTACCAAATGTAAAATGTATAGTGAAACTAAACAACCTTCCCCCTCCCCTCAACTAATTAATTCCTCGGTTGAATCTGCAAATATCTTCAAAGGAACTCACGAATGAACGAACTTTTTTTTTCCGAAGGGTTAGGAATTGGGCACGCAGGCCCGTCTTACATTCTGTCATTAGGGATACGCAACCAGCATTGTTTTCAAGAACTGCCTCTAATTATCTTTTGTATCCACAGGAGAAATCAAAATGCATCTGTGGACATTAATTGTTTCCAGTTTTGTGGCATATACAAGTAAGTGCATTTCAACACACTAAAAGCAGAATTTCAGGTTATATTTGATTACTGAGGAAGTAAAACAAAATAGCGAAACACCCTAATCAAAGAATTTAAATTCATACATTGGTTTTCAAGTAACAAAGCTGCTTTCAGAAAGTTTGTAATTGCTGACTATTGAAGTATAAAATATACACTTAAATGCTCGCATATTTTTTTAACATAGCTTTTCAGAGTACTAAGCATGATATACTAAACGCATCTGAGGAACAATCAATTGATTATGTCTAGCAGTAGTAGGACAGAGGCAACATATATACATAGATGAGGATAAACCAGCCAAGCAATAATTCAAATGAACTCTGTGAAACTTCACTTTAGGATGTGGAGTCATTCACAAGTTAGTAATGTAGATATAGATGGGGGATACGTTACAAATACATACACAACAGGCGTGTGTGATTTACATAGTACTAGGGAATCAGTTATGTGAATAGAAAGTAACGCTTGTACAACACTTAAAATATATACTCGTAGTTTTAATGTCAAGTCGATGGAAATGTAGAAGAGAGAAAAATAAATTATTAATTAAATAAAATAAAATGCAGTAATGTATACCATTGCAGGTTAGAAGGAATTAATGGTATGATAGAATCACTAATGAGAGACGTTTATCATCATAACGTGCCTTGCCTACTGGCAAAGGTTTTTATGCATTTGCACAGATTTTGGTCCCTTGTCCTGTGTGCAGCCTTTAGAGACAAATTTCAATTAATCATGAGGTAAATAAAGGTAGTAGACGTTGTATAAAACAGAATGAGAACACCGAAAAACAACTTAAGTAAGTATTCTTGCAGTGGAATGCGCCTAATAAAATGATTACAGGTGTAATGTTGTGAATTCCCGGGGAAATCCCAGAGAGTTCCCCATGGGGAGGACAAGGTCAGAGGACCAGTGATACAAGAGAAAAAACGAGATAAGTGGGTCTCGAGTATCCCATGGTGAGCGAAATAAGGGATACAAGAAAATCATGAGACTGGAACGGAAGACGTGAACCGAGATACGGTAGAAAGACAGTTGAAGTTCGGACCTGGTTGAGAGAGTTCGTATGTGAGTGAACGCCTGAGGAGAATGGAGAAATTGTGAACACTTGTAATGTTTCGAGAGAAGATATGAATGTTTCCTGATTGCCAGATTCCACGTGTACTAATACCAGGTACAAGGCTTAACTAGAGGATGGATGTGTGATTCGAGAGATACGGATGGATCAAAGCAGTGTGCGAGAGAATTGACCAGGCCGTCAGAAATCAGCCAGGCATAACGACCACGAGGACGAAAGAATGCGCTGCCTGTGATATGTGTAATTCAGCGAATAAAAGTCTATAACTAAACATTCGTCTCTGCTGTATCGTAGCAACTAAATGTTCGTCATACAGCAATGTGGTGTGTAAAAACATACCCCTAGCAGAGCACATTGCAACATGTGGTTTTAACAAGAACGTGAGGAGAAAGCAATTTGAGACCAAGATAAAAAAGGATGAGTAAGTCAAGGGGTGAGCTAAACACGATAGTGCAAGATAGGTCGACTTCGTGTGAATGTATTGAGTATGTGCGCTTCAATGTTGGATTATAGGAAATATTAGAATAATGCATGGTATATGCATACAAGGACATTATCACAAACGTTTAACAAACATCTCGTCATTAAAGTAACAGATATGATTTCAGAAATCTATTTCTAAGACGTTTATGAAATATCCGAATAGTTAAAGGTATACTTTGACTCATCATCATTGTTGGTATCATCGCTATAATCAGTTTAATCGTTCTATACCTTGCTAACCCTGTGAGCCTTAGCAAAACTGATTAGAAGAGCATTCTTTATGTTTCCCTCCCTCACCTTTTTTCATAAAAAATATGTCATAAATAATAGAAGTATTTTACGTAAAAATTTCATTAGGAAATAAAGTGCGTCATATCACTCAAGCCCATTCTAGAATTGACAAATATGATTCATAAAAATTTTATTTTAAATATGGTTAACACGAACTTGCTTTAGATGAACACTAGGTTTTCATGCATCAAACAATATTCCGTTGCTTTCGTGTCAAACAAGTCGGCGTCAGGTGCTTAGGAGTTGCTTCGTAATTCTCAAGTGCCATGTTCTGTTCCAGCTGCAGGCGATTTGGCAGCAGACCACCTTGCTTTGGTTTTGACTATGAAATCGAAAGAGCAATGTTCAGTGAGCAATAGCAAACTAATGAATGTAAATTGGCCTAATGAAATCGCAGCTAAAAAAATTATGTGGTTCGTCACACAAGATTCTGTAAATGTTACCCAACTAAGTTTATATGGATTAATGACTATAAAAGTTCTCATCACTTTTTTTTAAGGACTCATTTCTATTGTAGACGGATTGCGTATCGTGTGCTACTATACAAGCTCAGCCCAACACCGAGCTGGAGTTGGAAGGTTTACACCCAAAGACGTCGACCCAAATCTGTGCACTCACTTGGTGTATTCTCATGCTAGGATTAACGGATTTGATCTGGAAGCAACTCAGACGAACGATGAGACTTTAAATGGGAAATTGGGGATGTAAGTTTGATAACGTATTTCAACAAGAGCTGTGTGATAGTCCTCAATTCTTCTTCTTCTTCTTCTTCTTCTTCTTCTTCTTCTTCTTCTTCTTCTCTTTTTCTTCTCTTCTTCGTTTCTTCTTCTTCTTCTTCTTCTTCTTCTTCTTCTTCTTCTTCTTCTTCTTCTTCTTCTTCTTCTTCTTCTTCTTCTTCTTCTTCTTCTTCTTCTTCTTCTTCTTCTTCTTCTTCTTCTTCTTCTTTTTCTTCTCCTTCCTCTTCCTCTTCTTAGCGTTCACCGGTTGTAAACACAGAGATGAAGTTGTAAATGTTTGTCAACTTCTTGATCCAGACCTTGAGTTTTGTGCGCATATCTGTGCGACAGACCTGGCCTCTTTGTATGCAGACTGTTGGTTCCCTGCATCATGGACACATGCACTCCGTCTGTGGCCTAGGCGTTGCGAACGCGCTTAGTAATGCAGAGGTGCCGTGTTCGATTCCAGCTGCGGGCCTTGCGCCCTGCATTGGTTTCTGACAGTGGTATCGAGATGCTGACCGTCAGAAAGCAATGGCAAACTATTGGACATAAAATTGCATAGAAAAACTACAACAGCCAAAAAATACCAGGGTTTGGTTCTGCCACGTCGTGTAAAGGATCAGTAACTAACTTTATTTTAGCCTGGAGCATCAGCGTTAGTGGGATGCATGGCTAGTGCATTATGCAGGTTACGTTGTTGATATTTGCACCCGACAGAAAATAATTCTATCGCCTTACCGCCGATCAAACCCTAGCGTTTGGCATGAGAGCCAACATTTCTAACCTGCCGCTCCATATGTGTAAAACGCGAAAAGTCAGGAAAAAATTATTTGTCATCTAAGAAAAATAAATAATCACCCATGATGCGGTAAGGAAACTGAAAGATATAATGATGTCGTTTTCAAAATAACCTTATTGATAGTTTTTTGTTCGAGGCTTAGAAAAATAGTTAGGAAAAAAAAACGTGCATTTTGTATTTTAACTTCATGATTTAGACGCAAAGCAATGCTTTCCAGTTGTCAAGGAAAATTTTCCTATCACTGGCGTATCTGGAAATATAAAGAGACCCATAGATTGTAAAGACGAAACGGCACTCGATCTGCGATTTAATCATCACGCATGGCTGCCTTAAGTTCTATAATTCTTCTTCTTCTTCTTCTTCTTCTTCTTTACTTCCTCTTTTACGACTACGAGTGTCGAGGGAGATATAAGGTCATGCTTCATGCTTTCTGGCTGCTTCGACCATTACCACATTGTGGTGCTGTAGAGTTTCTCTGTTCTTATCTTTCCATGATGTTCTTGGTCTACCTCTACGTCCCTCTCCTCTTTTTGTGAATGCCTTGTATGGTATAGCATCAGAAGGCATTCTCTCCAAGTGGGCGAACCATTTGATTTGCTATCAGTTCCATTATTGAATAACTTATTTTAGTCTTGGTCATTATAAATATTTAATTGACCCAATGCGGATTTGACTCCTGGACCTTCAGACCCATAGTTCACACCTTTACCATTTGCCTTTCATTTATTTACTTAATTTTTATTTTTTTTATTTTTATTTTTTTAATTTTTAAAATTTTGTTGTAGCTCGAATTGTAATATGTAAACACATAAATGCTTAGGCAATATCTAGGCAAAATACATGCCAAGAACTAAAAGTTTTAATTTCTTTTAAATAAATAGAATATTCAAACACATGTTTATTTCCCGAAATAAAAACCAGAGTACATTGCCGGTAACAATACAGCAACAGTTACATGTTTGAACCGAAGATGTGCAATTCACTCTAGCTAACAAAGAGAGACATCGCCCTGCTCTTCTATACATAAAAAGGCAGGTAGCCTACTATCAAATCCTGTACACATTGAAGTAGAGATTTAACATAATCTATCTGAAGATTGCATCACCGAAACACCAAGTCCAGCTGGCCGATTTATCTGCCTATCAATCCCTGCGTTAGTACACGTGTGGAAAAGCCAGTCTCTAATACGCAGCATACAATTAACAATCATCCATCTAAATTATTATAGATATAAAATTATTAAAGAGATATAAGGACACACAAGACAACATAAAATTCGAAAGCTATAGTTACCGTTACGGGAATCGAGCCTGTCACCTCCAAATGGAGTGTGCGCTTCTTTATGGTAACATCTGTACTAAGAACATAGCCAAGTAGGCATTCCCCAAAAAGGTGTTCACACTGGCATATCTATCGTATAGCTTGAAATTAACAAATATGATATACGGACAGAATTCATTTTAAACCACTGAAATGGCACCATAGGTTACTGAAATTTATATTAATGAAGCATATGCTCAGAATTCGCATTTCACTTATTTATCTCTAACATTTGCGAGTGTCTCCTCTGCTTTTCTCTCTACACTGACCAGAACTTCCCTTTCGTAACGCCGGAAATTGCAGTTTGCCTTGTGTGACTATGCCCGCTTCTACAGACCATGATAACTCTTCGCCGTGTCCAATCTCGCCTCCCTGTTGTAGCGCAGTTTCTCCTTTAGATGCCGTCAACCTTCACCTAGATTAAACAATGTTCAGCTAGCCAAAGATACAGGAATCTAATCTAAATTCGAATTCTCTAATTCCAAGAGAACTGAAAAACAAAGTAAAGGGCCTTTTCCCACGCCTTCAGGTGTATTGGGTAGGACTAGACATATATTTTAGAGACCAAACGACACTTGGTTGGTGATGTGTTCAATATTAAGTCTGCTGCCTTTATTCACAGTACTGTACCTGGTGCCACTCAAGACAGGATCAAACTGCGCGCCAAGGTCACTTTTGAAAAAAAAATCCGGCCCACATCAGGATCCGAACCCGCAACCTACCGATTTGCAGGCGGGCGCCTAGCCGCTAGACCACGGCGGCTCCCAATGCCATGGGGACAAGAAAGGAAAAAATTGTGTGTTAACCCTTCTTCATTTAAAAAAATAATAACAGTCGAATTATACACAGTCAACAAACAATGAATTAGCTAACCATCTCCTGTAACGTGAATGCAATTATTTTGCCTTTGTTTGCTTTTTTGGATTTACATCTAAAATTTAACATGTCAAAATACATTTTCAACTGATATTTTATTCATAATTTTAATAATTACCAATTAAACTTAGGTTTCATTCTTTTTTCAGGTATGGACATGTTGTCAGCTTTAGGAAAAAAAATCCAAAACTAAAGGTTCTTTTGGGAGTTGGAAGCTTCATGGAAATGCCACAATCGTTTTTCCCCGCAGCGGCCAGCAAAAGTAGTAGAGCAGTCTTCGCTAGCAGTGTAGCCACCTATCTTCGCAATCGACATTTCGATGGAGCTCAGATGGAATGGGCGAACCTTGCTGCAAAACCAAATCCACGTTATGATAAAAACAAATTTTTGCTTCTTTTAAAGGTAGTGTAGAAGGTGATAGATATGTTTATGCAAGTGCGTTAGTATGTAATTGTTCGGTTCATGTGAGTGGATACGCGTTTGAGCGTATATGATATTTAGACAACGCAAATTACACCTTCTAATGGTTTATTATCTTGACAAGAAAAAAGTATGTTAGAAGCAGCAGCAGCAGCTGAGAGCAGAAGTAGTTTCAGTAGTGTTAGTCGAAGTTGTTTTGTAGCCTTAATGTTGTTGATCGTCCATCACGTGTGATGAGAACAGTTCTTTCTTTCATCCGTCATAAACTATAGTTGTGTTTTGTGAGTACAGGCCCAGAAAGATCAAGGACAAAGAGGGCAGTGAACAGTGTCTGTAGGTAAAGTGCCTGTTATACGAGTATTTCTAGCCTACCTGGGCTGATCAGCTCCCTTTTTTTTGAAGCCTCGCAGATGGATGTTCGTCTTCGCATAGAAGTTCTTTATGTAGTCAGTCCCGTCTTGTGCAACAGCCTTCCAATTGCCTATATTAAAGTCTTTAAGTGATGCTTTTAGCGTGTCCTTGACCATTAGAGTGTCTACCTTCCTGATCTCACCACACAAGATTAGTTTTGGGAGCCGATGGTCTGGCAAGGATTACGAATACAATGATGAAAGAGTGACTTAGGAGATAAACTAGTTTAAGGTGATAACGCGGGGAAGAGTTGCGGAAATGTCGGCAACCTGACTTTCTCACAAATATGTAGCAGTAATAGAGTGGTATTAGTGCTGATGGTTGAAGATGTAGTTATTGCTGTTGCGTCGTAGTAATAGAAGACGAAGTAGAAATATTAGAAGTAGATAAAGAAGAACTGTAGTAGTTGCAGTAGTAGTAGTCGCAATAGCAGTATAAGAAGAAACAATTAAAAATAAGAAGAAAATATAAATTGTAAGAACAGTAGGAGTAACGGCTGCAGCAGGAACAGCTACGGCAATAGTAGTAGTTAAAGCAGTTGTTGGTTGTTGTAGTAGTTGGTGGTGGTGGTAGTAGCTGGTGGTAGTGTTGGTGTTGTAGACGAGTAGTAAAGAAACATATGTTCCATACACATCTTTAAAAAAATTGAATGCTTCCTATTATAAATTTGTACTCTAGGCATTGAGAGAAGAATTCAAACAAAACTCGTTGGCTCAAGGGGATACACTTATCCTAGCTGTAACTTTGCCTGCAGTTAAAAAGCATATAGACACTGGATATAGAATCCCAGAGCTCTCTATGTAAGTATGCCTTCTTCTTTCTATCTTTTTTAAGGACATTTGACATGTTGGGATGTGGTTTACAGTTTGCATGTGACGTCTGCGCCTTTCGACTAAAAATATCCGATTTTGGCAAACGCCGTATTATTTGCCTTTTACGATATGCTTGCGCGGGGCAGTTTGCGTATCTTTACCCTCAGCCCCTCCAGAAATGGTGTGCTGAAACCCAAACGGGGATTTAGGTATATAATTTAGTATTCATTATGCTGTGTCATTAAAAAGCGGACTTAGTGCCCAGTTTTACATAAGTAAATAATTAAACAAATAAATACAATTTTAAATAGGAATTTACTTTTTGGTTGAGAAAAAATCATGGCTATTGTTTGCAAGAAAGATTTTTTTTTTTTTTTTTTCATGAATGACAACAAATCACATCGTCATCAAATAAATTAATACGCCTTCGTTGTTTATGTGCCATTTCTTGATAAACAAGTACATTTTTGCCGAAGTGGACAGCCGGTCTTTAATTTCAGAACTTAGAACCGGAAAATTATAAATACATATATTTTTTTAAATTGTCTGACGACTCGTTAGTCAGACAGGAGGAGGGACGAATATCGACTTTTCGGGTGAGTCTTAAAAAAAATTTTAACAAAAATTACATTAGACGAGTTTACTTTTTTATGGCGAATATTGACATGGACTACGATTGTTTTTCCTCGATACTTTTTACATGATCTCCCAGAACATGCCTTGTGGCGTTGGTAGCGATGTCTATCCACAAGCTTCGTGTACATTTGATCAATTTTGATACAAAGGATCTCCACTGCTATGATGTCCAACTGGTAATCTGGTAATCTGGTAATTTTAATTTCAGCTTCATGGCAAACGGGTCACCCCATCTTTGCTCCGCTCCTGTGCCAACGAAAAACACACAGAATGTTTATCACAGTCCCTTGTGGAATGACAAACTGCTCTCTCAGCAAATCTAGCATACACTCGCATTAAAAACATATGGTAGCCATCCGAAGTGCTAACATAAACAGCCCGACGTTAGAAATGCAGTTCATCATTGATGTCCAACTGCCCAGCCTCTTCTTTCCATGCCTCCCTCTATCGTTTTCCCCTCCAGGATTTTCACCATTACAGTGTACACCAGTTGACTATTGATAGGACCAAAGAAATTACGACTGTCTCTTTCCGATTCTCTCCCATTTAACCCCCCCCCCCCCACCCCCCCATCATTTTGTGCCCTACTTCTGAGAGTTGTTTTAAAAAGAATGATGCGGTCCACTATATATTAGAAAATGTGCAGTTTTACATTATTATTAAACGTTACATTTGTTTTTGTTGTGACGAGCTGGTCTGGACAGCTGTTTCTTCCCTTTTAAGTATTGCTTTGTGTAAGCAATATTATTAAATTTTCTCACATTTTCCCTATTGCTTCATTATAGCAAAATTATTATTAAAGAGTTGAAAGGTATAAAAGACGAATGGGTAGTGCAAGCGGTAACTCAAGAGTTACTTCCCCCTTTTAGGACTCCCCTCTTTCATTTTCATACCAGGCACGATTGGGGAAAGACAGGCAACAGTCTGCTCTCCTCAATTGACTTAAGTTCAGACTAAAGTTGTAGTCAGTTCTACAGTCTTGTTGTCTGTGTTTGAATTCCCTGCCAGGGGTGAGTGAAAAGAATAAGTTTAATTTGATCTATTGCTGCTTATTCCTCTGAATTAATTTCACAGGTTAATTAAATTTGATGTCCACAAGGCTTAGAAATCCTTGTGAATTCCCTGATCCTAACTAACCACGTTTATAATCTAGTATATACATGTATGCAAACATATGATCTAGTTGATGACTGAAATAATGTTTATTTGATACTAGAAACGTGCATTGGTATTTTTAATTATTATAATTATATTTATTAAGTGAGAATGTATGTCCTCGTGTGAAATCTCGGCCAGTTCCGGTTTCCAGCATGGTGAGACAATTAAAAAAAGGAATGAAGTGTATATTCATTATACCTAATCCTTACTAAGTTGATTTTACCTCATGGTGATATTAGCTTGATAAATCACCGTATGGCTTTAATTTAGATTTAGTCCAGATAATTCTGAGACTGGTTTAAGAGCTTGAAAAGTTTAGAAAATGTTATAGTTTTAATGTACCTACAGTTTTATGGAGTTTCATTTTATCTGTAATCATAGTGTCAGTGAACAAAAGCAAGTATAATTTAATACATTTAAATATACAATATATTACCAGTAGGGAATAAGATGTGGGCAAACCCCGAATCCTCTAATTTAACCATCAAGACTGGGGGGGGGGGGGTGTGTAAACCTTTATAATGATTTACTGTTTGTAATTTCCTCTGTAAAGTGCACATGGTGCAGTCGCTAGAATAAAGCGAATTTACCCGCCACATATTTAAAACGATATTAACAGGTTTTTCTGGCTTGGATCCCAAAGTTATCATGAACTTGTTGATACAGCAGCTTGGATAAAGTTCAGACTACGAAATGATAAATAATTATATTCTCTGATTAAAAAATGTTGAAAACTGGCGTCTACATTCGAGTATATTGTGTACAATTAGTTATGTGTATCGCCCGTGTGTTACCGGGGCCCTCACGGGAAGCAAAGAATAGTGACACTGCACCCTACCAGGCATGTCGTAAGAGACGACTAAGGGTAGGGTTGGGCTTGAGGTTGGCTACCTCATCCTGTAAAAACCATAGCCACAAAAACCAACCAACCATGGATAAGTCAAAAAAAGAGAAGCAAATAAAATCCAGCAAACCAAGATGAGGGGAGGCTCTTCAAATAGAAGGAGTATGACACGGTGTGGAGAAAGCCGTAAGGAGACCGGATCGTTGACTTACTTCTTCTCAGCTAGGAAAACCTCCAGAATTGGCACCTGGAATGTTAGAACTCTCTATGATATAGGGAGAACAATGGAGGTAGCAAAGGAAATGAAACATTATAGAATTAGTATTTTGGGGTTATGTGAAACTAGATGGACTGGGACAGGGAAAAGTATTCTTAATTCAGGAGAAACTATTTTGTTCTCAGGACACACAGAGGAAAATTCGCCGCACAGTGAAGGCGTGGCCATGATGCTATCAAAAGAAGCAGACAGGGCACTAATAGAATGGGAAGCTGTAAGTCCCAGAACAATAAGAGCATCTTTTAGAACAGTAGAACAGAAGGTGAACATGTCGGTAATACAGTGTTATGCACCAACAAATGATAAAGATGCATCTGTTAAGGAAGTATGTTACATGCAGCTTCAAAATATTATGAATAATGAAAGAAAGGGCAACTTAAAAATGTTGATGGGTGACTTGAATGCTAAGATAGGATCAGACAACACAGGTTATAAAGAAATTATGGGGAGACATGGTCTAGGAGTAATGAATGAAAATTGAGAATTGTTCACAAATTTGTGTGCAGGTAACCAGTATGTTATTGGTGGAAGTATTTTCCCATAAAAGAATACACAGGGCAACATGGGAATCACCAGACCATAAGACAACTAATCAAATTGACCACATATGTATTAACAAAAAGTTTAGATCATCCCTTTACGATGTTAGGGCTTTCAGAGGTGCCGATGTATTTACTGACCATTTCCTGGTGATAAGTAAAATCAAGTTGAAACTAAAAAGATATATAACATCTTATAATCATAGAAACCAATATAATGTAGGCTTTCTCAGTGACAAAGAAATTAAGGAACAGTTCTCAGTTACGGTCTCTAATAAGTACCAGGTTTTGCAGCATTTAGCTGAAAATGTCAACACAGAAGTCTGCTGGGATCAGATCAAAGGAATCTGGAATGAATCTTGCGTAGAAGTTCTTGGCAAGAAAGAAAGGAAACATAAAGCATGGATAAAACCAGAAACCATTAAACTGATTGAAGATAGGAAAAGTAAAAAGGCAGAATTAAACAATAGCAAAACTAGAGCTGCTAAAGCTAGAGCTCAGGAGAATTACACAGAAGCCAACAAGGAAGTTGGGAGGCATATAAGGGCAGATAAAGTAAAATATCTAAATGATCTAGCACAAGAAGCGGAGACAGCAGCAGCAAAAGGAAACCTCAGAGAACTTTAAAGTAACACAAGAAAATTAGTAGGTAAATATAGTCAGCCAACTGGATCAATCAAAAATAGTCAAGGAAAGGTACTTACTAACACTAAAGATCAAATGGACAGATGGATTGAATATTTTGAAATGCTTCTAAATAGACCAGGCCCAGAGGTTCCCCAAGATATCTAGCCTTTAGAAATGGAACTGGATATCAACTGTGAGATACCATCCAAAGAGGAAATTAGAAAAGCTATAAATCTTCTTAAAGAAGGAAAGGCGTCAGGCCCAGATGGTATCCCAGCTGAAGCCATCAGGACCAACATAAACACATCAACAGAATTGCTACATAGATTATTCAGTAAAGTCTTGGAGACCGAAGAAATACCAGCAGACTGGAGAGAAGGATATCTTGTGAAACTGCCCAAAAAAGGTGATCTACAGGAGTGTGAAAACTATAGAGGAATTATGTTGATGTCAGTTCTTGGAAAAATATTAAGTAGAATTATTTTGGAAAGATTAAAAGATGCTATTGATAAAATGCTAAGAGATGAGCAGGCAGGTTTTCGGTCAAACAGATCCTGTACTGATCAGATAGCGACATTACGTATTATATTAGAGCAAAGCATTGAACTGAACTCACCACTTTACATTGGATTTATAGACTATGAAAAAGCATTTGACAGCATTGATTGGGAATCTCTTGATGGGGCACTATGGAATCCCACAGAAAATTATCAACTTAGTAAAGGCAACATATAAAGACATGAAATGTCGAGTTCTTCATGAGGGAAAGCTAACAGATGCATTTGAAATAAAAACAGGTGTGCGACAGGGATGTCTTTTGTCGCCTCTCTTATTTTTACTGGCTATAGACTGGACTATGAAAACAGTAACTGCTAACACCAAGAATGGAATTCAGTGGACCCCTACTAAACAGCTTGATGATCTGCACTTCGCTGATGATATTGCTCTTCTGTCCCATTCACAGAATCAGATACAAGATAAATTAAATATACTTAATGCGAGATCACAGCAGCTTGGTCTGAAAATCCATAAAGGAAATACAAAGATAATGAGAATACATCAGGCAAATAGTAATGTGGTTTCTCTTAATGGCACCCCACTCCAAGACGTGGAGTCGTACACCTATTTAGGCAGTAATGTAGATAAAGATGGAGGAACTGATAGAGATATTAAAATAAGAATACAAAAGGCAAGAGGGGCTTTCATAGCACTAGGGAATTTGTGGAGGTCAAAAGAAATTAAAAGAAATACTAAACAAAAAATTTTAATTCTAATGTCAAATCAGTACTATTGTATGGGGCAGAAACATGGAGAACAACCAATGCAATTACTAATAAATTACAGACATTCATTAACTGGTGCCTGCGCAGAATAGAGGGAATAAAATGGTATGATAGAATAACTAATGTAGAACTTTGGGAGAGAACTAAACAGGCTCCAGTGGATCAGGAGGTGAGGAAAAGACGCTGGCGTTAATGGGACACACACTGAGAAAACAGGAGAACAGCATAACTAGAATGTCTTTGCATTGGAACCCACAGGGGCATAGGAATAAAGGAAGGCCAAAAAACAAATGGAGAAGAGAGCTGGAGAATGAGGTTAGAAAGATTGGGAGGACATGGAGAGAGCTCCATGCAATGGCGAAGGATAGAACGACTTGGCGTGAGTTGGTTGAGGGCCTATGCTCTATTGGGGGATAGAAAGGCAGAGGAAGAAGAAGTTATGTGTATGCAAAATGTGTATCCTTAGGTTGACCTTCCTAGAAAAAGTGGGTGTTGATTAAATGTTTGTTTAAACTTTTATTTTAAAATACTTTGCCTCGTCTACATTTCCACTTTTACGGACTCAGGGTCGAGGAAAAAATGAGGTTCGATTTCTTGCTGTACTCACCGCGTCGACACATTGCACAGGGAATCTTCATGGCTAAATGGTTCGGATATTTGCCTACGATCTGAAGCGCACACGCTCGTTTCCTGACCTTCCTCGTTCGGTTCACAATGTCAGTTTTACAGTGATTCGTTAGATCATCGCAGAAGCTTCGGAGTTTGTACTTACGTCGACTCTGTCGATTCGGGTTAACTAATTTGCTGATCGAGACCAAGCCATGTGGAACAAACCTCGAAATTGAGTTGATCCTGGTAACTTTATGAAAATAATTCTCATGAATGACCTGTATATTCTTACCTCTGCTGCCTGGTAATATAGAACTTGTTTTATTTTTTTCCCCCACCTGTCTGCCAATAGAATTCTCAGGAGACCATAGCTTCGATAAAGGCTGCCGTGCAATACAAATTTCTCCCCGTGTACCGTACATCTGTATCTTGCCTGGGGTGGGAAAGGACCAGATGACTTCGAACAAAGGAAGTTTATTTTCTCCTTTCTGTCAGCAAAATATATTGTGCTGGTCCACATACATGCTCAGCATTTTCAGGGAACACGTTGCATGGGTATATACTTGTGTTTCTAACATAAACAGCAATAATAGAAATAACATGTACAAATGTTTATGGGGTCTGTTTTGCATCTAAAATGACCGTTTTCTATTGCAGGCAAGCCGACTTTATCACCATCAGGACGCTTGACTTGCACACCGCCTCCGATGGAAAAGTTGGCTTGAGTGCTCCCTTACGTTCTGACCCTAAGTCAGAAAGCGATGACAAATATTTAAACGTGGTCAGTGTCTTCTCATATAATTACTGTTGACCTATGCAGTGATTATCTATCTTGCGTCTACTTCCCTGTCTGACGCCACCAATCTCTCCCACACCCTCCTCCCCCCTCCACCTTTCTCTTTCTCTGTCTCTCTCTCTCTCTTTCTCCGAAACACACACACACACACACACTCACACATTCATTCGCTGTCTGTCAATCTGTCCTTTTTTTATTCCTTGCACTCATGTATATACACTACGGCACACAAACACTTTGCTGATAGAACTAGCCATAATTAAGAACTACAAAGCAAGTGGAGTAGAATTAATTGAAGCAAATAGATAATAGTAAACACTCCTTTGGGGTATCGGATGTAGTTTCTGTAGACATTCAGATACGCGGTCAATTGTTTTAGAGAAAAGAAAACCTTTCGTCAAAAAACAAAAACAAAAAATTTTGAGACGATACATACAGGTTAATATGAAACATTATATGAACTGCTTTAGAATGCAAGGTAGAGGATGGCTTGACTGGAGATGACTGAATGTCCGTCTAAGTCTTAGAGAAAAGATGTAAGAATGCGGTAGACATACGAGCAGAAAGAAAAATAAGAAGAACCGACAAGGAATGGATGAGGAGGCATAGGTGGAGGGAAAACAAATCAAAAAAAAGTGTGTCTGAGGAGGGCGTTCATGAGAAGCCGATGGAGTATCAATAAGAAGAAGAAGAGTAAGTAGAAGAAGAAGATGATGATAATGATAATGATGATTGTGATGATAATAATAGTGATAGGGAGGGAGTTTATGAGAAGCCGATAAAGTATCAAGAAGAAGAAGAAGTAGAAGAAGAAGAAGAAGAAGAAGAAGAAGAAAAAGAAGAAGAAGAAGAAGGAGAAGAAGAAGAAGAAGAAGAAGAAAAAGAAGAAGAAGAAGATGATGATGATGATGATGATTATGAAGATGATGATAATGATGATTGTGGTAACAATGATAGTGATAATGTTCACGATGATGATAATGATGATGATCGTGAAGATCATGATTATAATGAAGAAGTACTGTGAATTCGATTTCTGCTCGTTTTGCAGGAGTGGATTACTAAACACTACATTTCGCTGAAGGTTCCCAAGGAAAAAATAAACATCGGTATACCGACGTACGGCAGGTCATTCAGGCTTGAAGACGGTTCCCATAACAAGATAGGAGATAAAGCTGTCAGTAACAAAGGACCTGTGCCTTTAAATTCAACAGACGGCATTGTAGGTTATGCCGAGGTAAGCAGAAGACCAGCCAATAACTAATTTCTGATTACTAGCTGTAACGGCGTCGTGGCTGAGGCGTTGCGAGTCTGACTCGTAATTCCAATATACTGCGATCGAAACCCACTGCTGGCTGCGTGGATTTTTATCGTGGTTTGGGGCGTCACAGGTTGACCCAGCCTAAAATGGGTACCATAATGTTTGTTCTGGGGAAGGAAAGACGGCCGTCCTACTGCTGACTACATCACCATCTTGTGCCGATTGGTCTATAAAATATCGGTCTAGCCCTATATGCCCTAAAGGCGTGGAAAATAGTCCTCTCTCTCTCTCTCTCTCTCTCTCTCTCTCTCTCTCTCTTCTTAGCTGTCACAGGCTATAAGCTTTAATTGTGTGTTTACCTAAAGGCTTTGGTTTAGTGTCAGTCTTGAGTTTTTTTGTGCACACCCATTTCACAGATTTGGTTTTGTGTGTGTGTGTGTTCAGACTGTTGGCTCCTTGCCTCTCAGGCAGATTGACTCGGACTTCGAGGACAACATTTATCCTATCTACGTTGGCCAGGTTCACGTTGGGAATCTCTCGACAGTATGACCCAGAGAGGTGTATACAGATTGCCCCCTACTAACCCTGGTCCTGGTTAGTGTCCAGCAACTGGTTAAGCACCTCTGCATCTATAATTAATTTGAAAAGGTATTCACATATTGTCATACGTAGTATAGCAAAGCATTATGCAAAAGCCAGTAGTATTGTCACGCTGAATGAATAAATAGAAATCTGGTTTTGAACAACAGTAGGAATCCGTCATTGATAAGTTAGCCGGGAAAGAACAAGAGCTAGTCGAACTTCTAAACCTGCCTGATAAAATTTCAACGAAGTATTGCATTGAAATAAAGGCGGAAAGGACTAAAGTAATGACTAATAAACTAGTTAGCATAACTAAAATAATGTACGTTAAAGGTCACAAATTATAACAAGTCAGTTATTCAAAATATTTAAGATCTATTTTATGAGACCTAGGGTCCAGCCCAGAAATCATGTCTAGGATTGCCCTGACAATAACAGTCCTTGCCAAACAGCAAATATTATGAAGACACATAAACATTACATGTTAAGCTAAGCTTCCACTGTAAAGAGGACGAGCTATTGTATGCAAACAGACGGAACATAGAGTCAGTCAAAGATTTATGTGACAAAATGTACAGTGTAAAAACAAATAATATTATAATGCTTTGCAAAGGTAGTGCCCTCACACTTTCACAAATATTTCGAAAATCCCTTACGGATTAACATGACCTGTTGTATGTATCATGAAGTTACCCATGCTTTTATAATGTAATTTACTGTTGCACAGGGTTGCTACTATCTTTAAGCGGTAAATTTGTTTTATCTTTGTTTGACTCAAAATTTATGTAATCCAAACAATATAAAAACTACAGTAAATGACACACCTGTGGAAATTAGTTGGAAATCAATTCACGTGGGCAGCGATGCATAGCAATTATTTTGATAGCCCATACCACACACAGTTAAAAATTATGTTGACATAACTAAAGGGAGGATAATGCTGTAGATGACCATCTGAGAGTGACACCCCCTAAAAACCAATACAGTTTGATTAGCTGACAACTTCCCGTTACTCAGTGAACTGTAAGCATGCTGACTGTTTGTTTTGAATCAGTGTCTTTATTTTTTCGTGTTTCGCAAAGAATATGGCAAAAAAAAAAAAAAAAAAATGGATGTTTGTTTAAATTTGAAAAAGAAAAAGCTAAAAACATATTTATTAACAAATTGCATGTCACATTTTAACAACTTACACAGAAAGGTAAACTTACTTACAGATTTTTAAAGTTGGCACAGATTTTGAAACGGACTTTTGCTGTGTATTTGAAGCGAAAGAATATATTCGTACAGAATTGTATGGCGTAGTAAATTATAAAGAAAGCCTCCAAGTTGGTACATGGAACGCTGCTAGACAAGCAAATGAATAATACATTGTTTACGTACTCAGTATTTAAACGAAAAAATAACTGATCTGAATAAATTAGGTTTGTCAACTAGTCTTGGCTGGCGGATCAGTGGAAAATGACGAATCTCATGATGGTCGTTACTACACCAACGGCAATCTATGGATCAGCTACGAGGACATCCTCAGTGTCAGTAAAAAGGTAAGCCTTTTTTTTTTTTTAACTAGTTATACAGATTCTGTTTGAAGACATTAATAGTGTCCTTCTCGACTGTGACAGTTGAAAGTAAATTATAGCAAATGTGAGGTAGAAATAGACTCGGGAATATGAATGACCCAATAGTTCTTATTTAAAAGTGTGGGGAGGAGGGGGAGGGGTGGCGTCGCTCAAGGCACAAAACCATGTAGCTTCACTAGCAACAACCCAACCCAAATGGCAGACTACGAAATATAACCTACACTTTTCAGTGCCAGAGATGAATGACCGAACCACTGCATTGAGATATTACATGTTGTTATATATAATAAGAAGAAGAAACTCCACACGGAAGCATGTACAGCAGGAGTCTACTAATCATCAGTAGAAGTAACCTCTCGTCGACAAATGTTTCGGCCCACGAGCTCCTAGACATTTTCAGAGTGGGCCCACCTGAGTTCATGAAGCTCAGGATTGATTTCCCCTGCTGCACGAATTACCAGATGTTCGGATAAAGACAAGACGAATTGGTGATTTTGCAGAAGGTACTGTCAGAAAGAAGTCGTCGCGGTAGCATAATTAAAGCTGTCTGCATACCTGAACGACCGAGCGGCAAGCTTACGATTGGTATACCGGACAAATGTTGGACTTTGTTAGCAGGTTGCAGAGGGACACTGGCAGACAATTCGGACACGATGGAATTTTAAGGGATCAGAAGTTCCTTTCCTCTATACACCCGGACCAGCTTACCGAGGCCCGTCCCCTACATTGTTTCGTTGTGTCCAGAGCCAGCTCGAGGCCCTCTCAGCAACCTCGCCCCGCTGTTTAAGTGTCCGTTTGCGTTCATTACCACGTAAGCCTAGTTCTTTAATCACATTGTAGAGTAAAGTGGAAACGAGACCTCTTGCTCCCACTTCGACGGCAAAGACTCGTACTGTGTACGCTTCGTCTCTCCTTAGATCGGCTGCTAAGTCACTGTACTTCTCAAGCTTGTACATATGGCTTTCGTCCATTCGCAACTCATACGGGACGGTCACCTCAATCAGGGTGAGCTGCCGTTTCTCCGCAGAGTGGAGAACTATGTCAGGTCGCAGGCCGGTCTTCCGAATTGACTCAGTGTACCTTTCATGGCCAGGCCGGTCAACTGCCAGTAACCAGTCCCTTGCAGAGTCTAGCATAGATGGAGCGTATGCGTCTTTGTTGATTCTGCCTTTGTGAATCTGCCCAGCCTTGAGAAAACATATGGGGACGATGGTAGGACTGGTCAACCGGTCAACCGCCAGTAACCAGTCCCTCGCAGAGTCTAGCATAGATGGAGCGTATGCGTCTTTGTTGATTCTACCTTTGTGAATCTGCCCAGCCTTGAGGAAACGTATGGGGACGATGGTAGGACTGGCCATCGCGTTGGTCCTCATCCTAGCCTGGTCCACAACAGCCGCCAACTCTTTTAGCACCTTGTTGTAGCGCCAGGTATATCGGCCTTGACCTAGGGCTTTCCTGCATGCGGACAGTACGTGTTCTAACGTCTGCTTCGCTCTGCACAGCAGGCATGTCTGGTCGTTAGTCGCAGACCACTTCACCATGTTGACACCGGACGGTAATACATCGTACGCAGAACGAACGATAAAGCTCAGTCGCTGCGGGGTCATTCGCCAGATCTCAACCCATGTGTGTACTCTTGGCAATGCGCTATCCAGGCTTACCCAATGGCCCTGCTGCGACTGTTGGGCTGCCTTCTGGACCCGAACCTCGTTTTCGTTGTCCCTTACCCGCTGTATCACCATGTCTCGGCGCTCTTTGGCTGTGGCTTTGGACCACCAACTGACCTTCCCGTGACCTAGGCCTCGACGGTCGGTTTGAGTGTAACCCACAATTTCCACAGAATTAATTAACACTGAAGGATGTTTTTATCGACATATTTGTAACGCTGAAAATAATACCTGTGTACAAAAGTGTCTATGTAGGAAAATGATAAATTATGTATACACGAAGCCATGAGTGAACAAAAGATACAGCCGTGACGCCAGGGGGATTAAGTTTGAGTAAGTAAATTAAACATAGAACAAGCTCCAAAGAGTGAGAGGTTAGGACAAGGCATGTGCCACTTAATGATGCGGCATTGAGGGCAGAAGATGTGGGGTGGCGCTAAGCTAGGCCACGATCCTGTGCACGATTAATTATGGTAACACCAAATGCTAGGAACTAGTCAACAGATGAATAAGACTCAAACTTTAGGATCACAGCTCACCGGGGAGTCTGCCATAGAACTGATGCAATCTCACAGAGGGTCGTCCCTTGAGGTACAGACAGTAGAGGTACATTCATCTTTCCTTTAGATGAACTAATCAGATAATCTACGAAGTTGAGAGTGTCCAGGCTGAAAGATGTTACAATTTGCTGACACTTTGAGAAGAAAGGATAAACGAGAAACAACTTGGAGGCCAGCAGAGAAAGCCCAGGACATGGACAGAGGACAGCGAGGGTCAGGTTTTTTTAGGCAAACAGTCTATAGTAAGATCTCTAGCTGGTAAAATGTAGCCGGTCTATCGTATGTCCGAAGAGTTTAACGAAATTGAAAGCAAATATCAACTGTTGAATAGTAACGGATATATCCATAGAAGAGAGAACATAATACACTTTGTTACAATAAAGCTATATGGACTTCTTTTTACAAGTGAGTTTATAAACGTCCAGTTGCAGTCCATAGACCTGTATACAGGTGGGGTATACAACAACCTATGTTGAAGTGTCTCGTCGTCATTGTTTAAAAAAAAAAAATCTTCTTCGTTCTTAAATTACCATTGTGTGTGTGTGTGTGTGGTTTTTTTTTATAATAAATAATCTTAGGTGACTTACTGGCTATGATGTTATAACACAGTAGACATGCTAAGACTGTCTAATCCCTTATGTCCCGCGTAGCTTTTTTGAAGGAGCTTGGGGAGACTGAAAGGCTGATTTTTCCAAATCTACCTCCCAAATGGCGTACCTTTCGGTACGGAATTTCTAGAGATGTCGGTATTTAGAATATGGGAATAAATGTTTAATGGGAATAAAAACAATAAAAAGCAGAGATTCAGAAAAGACTGTTGAAAGATGGGTGTTAGAGAAAATTAAAAAAAGAGACAACAGGGAGATTTAGGAGATAGTAAAAGACGTGTTACTATAAGGACCATTCTAGATGGAAAAGTTAAAGGCAATTCAGAATGCGGCAGGTGGCGATACAAGCAGGAGGAAAACATTAGGAGATATGAGCAGCCAGCCTTCATCGTGAAAACAACAACTGATTGATTCATCTATTAAGTTGGAGCACATGTGGCATAATCAAGATATAGCGGCTAACTCTTCACTTGCCAGCAACATATGGGCCACGGGACTGTCTTTATCTGTGTTATTTGCTACCAGCAATGAAACTAAATGATGTCAGCTTAAGGGGGAGCCTACATCTTTTTTAGGTAACTAATTATTAAGGTAATAGTAATAATTATAATAATGTGACAAATTGCAAATAATACAATATTATATGTGAAATTAAAAAGAGACTAGGAATGGCTAAAACTATCTTCAAAAGGATTCGAGAATAATTATTACCTAGAGAAATAATAAACAAAACAATAAAAATTAGAATCGTCCCATTTTGTGTATACTCTACCCTGTTGTACGGTACATTAACAACTACAAAGCACAAGCAACACGAAAATGGAACTGAGGCTCTGAAAATTGTGATACACAAAAGATAAGGCCAAATTGCAAGGAAACAAAGGAAATAAAATAGAGAGGTTCAGGAAAGACTGCGAATAAACAGAATAAGAATATTTTGGCCGTTTTAGAAGACTGTTGAAATCTATAATGGAGGGTAAGGTCGAGGGCAAGACAGCAATAGTTAGATAATGTTACAAGTGAGAAGACAAAATCAAGAGATGGACGAAAAGCAGTTTAAGAGATTGTACAACCAAGACAACAGACAGAACGTTTTGGACATCTAATGCAGCCAAATTTTATTGTGGAGACGTCTCTGACTGACTGACTGAAATTTGCAATATTCTTACATGAATAGTATACTGTGGCACCTGACTTATTATTTGACTCACTAATACTTTTGACTGATATTTGGAATAATCTTATATGTACAGTATACACTGGAGCCCGATTGATTGATTAATATTTATAATAATCTTATATGTATAGTATACACTCAGTAAGGTACATTACTCACTGTACTTGGCTAGAAAAGAAGGGGAATGAGACCCCTCAAAATAAAAATTCGTGGGGAGGGGGAGCGGGGGGGGGGGGGGGGGGGGGCAGGGCCTAATGTGTGTCAGCTCATTAGTTCCTTCACCCCTGTATGCATGTTTTATTCCTCATAGACCCGTTTTGTAAAAGATTTAAAACTTGGTGGTATAACTTTCTGGACACTTGACCTCGATGACTTCACTGGGGTAGGATGCCAGCATGGACGATACCCGCTCATTAGAACAGCGGTCAACCTCATGACGTATAAAGATGAGTACATGTGGGCCAGGTGAGTCAGTCCCCACGTAAAACCGCTGTTTTCGTTCACTCGGTAGATGACGAGGAGCTGCCTTTTGAGCGATTGGATCTTTCGACTTTTCTTTAGACGGCTCAGATTTCAATCATTGGTAAAGTAAATGAAGCTTGTCTATGTCATTAGACGTACTGGGCCGCAATGGCAAGGCGTGCGTGTATTCGCTGGTAACACTTTCCACTAGAAGACCGCTCGCTGCGTGCTTACATCACTCTTGTAGAATCGGTGATGTGTAAAAGCTACCATTTACCGGTGCTACAATACTGGCTGTGCACTCATTTTCACAGCAAGGAATCGACACGTTCCAAAATACTGTATCTGGTGAAATAGTGACCTGATAACGCTTAAACTTGCCAAGAAGAACTAAATTTGCACTTAAACTTGCGAATTAATCAAGCCTCGCTACTGGAATGTAGTGCTAAAGCTATATTTTAAAGTCCGATCGGCTTCACTGGGTGATGTGAGATGGGTGGGCAACTGCGACAGCACGGTTGAGAAGGCCAGAAATGCAGGAAGCAAAAACTCGTCTCCAGCGACACCTAGCAATAGATGAAATGTAGGAGAAAAGGAAGGTAAATAACAGTTTTTTTTTTTCCTTCTAAAATCAGCTTTTATGACGAGCACCTTATACTTTTTGAACTTGGCTATTCTTCAGGATACTTTTGTAAAGTAAAGGACACTCTCATTAAGTGTACTTGGTCGCAATGGGCAGGCTTGCATGTAGCGTCTGTAGTCACTAGATTCTAAATTACAAGTCACCGGTTCATTGTCATTTAAAGATCATCGTTACTGGACATGACCAAAAGTGCCCCGATCGACTCCTGAGTAAGTCATTGGTGTTCAGAAGTAATGTTGCTGGGCGAAGGAAGAGATGACATGTTGTAAGGGAATGTAATTTACGGTGATAAGTAAGCAACCTCGCTATGCCTATACGGTACTTTAATTTTATACGACCCTATCTCCTCGGCTTCAAGGGTTCGTAGGGTGCCTTTGAAATTAGTTTCTTTTTCTTCTTAGTAAAGCACCTGCCTTACTACACAGGCACCGCCATCACAACTATAAGGGTTTCCCTGGATAGAACCACATTTTAGGGAAAAGAGTATTGGGGGACGGGGTGTGAGCGTTGGGGCCTGTGTTAAATAAATAGCGCCCACCACTATGCCTTACCCTATCTGCCCCCTCCCTCTTTTTTGTCTCCACACGTTAGGACGTTCAAGTAATTTCCCTGTAAAATCTCAAAGCCGACGAGAAGGGGTCGTAGAAAATGTAAGGACCTGCCCATGAATAAAATTTTAGTTTAAAAAACCTACAAATGCAGCCTTTTATTATAATACTCATATTGATACTCAACTACTAATTAGGCGCATGATTTTTGTTTTTTCAAACTATACACAGATCTTTTAAAGTACAATTACGTCTGATTTCACTAATCAATTTATCTCTGTGAACACATATGTTGTCAAACCATTGTACTGCTGCTCAACTGCTAGATCTTGAGGTCGCAACGGACAGGAAACACATTTTATGTGAGGCCGTGGGCGACAACAGGACGCATCGACTAAAAAGAGACAGCTCCTGGATAGCACCGGAAGAAGCCATCATCAGAACTTGCATTAACATAGATTTTACATTGCTGGTGACAGCAGCAAAAACGTCATAAACATAACGTATAAATGTTTCACGCATCACTAGTGGTTGCATTAGATTTTTCAATAGCTTCCTTTCGGCTTACCGTATTCGATTTCAGCAATTTGTTTATTAATAGCCTTTTACGACATGCTTATCCAGGAGCAGTGGGTTAGCTGATGGGCAGTTTATTTTAACTAATTGTCAAGACCGGGAACAGACACTGGGACCTCCACTAAAGGACTTGCTCTCATATAGTGGCTAATCCTTAGATTACTCGAATTCCTCTCACAGATTAAACCATGCAAAGTACGTGGATGTTCCGCCTCCTGACAGTTCAGGCAACCCCTATAAATTTCCAAAGATATCTACAGGTGGAGGTAGTAGCACTGGTAAGTCACTTTCATTTTATCTATATAAATATAAATGTGTGTGTGTGCATATATATATCTATTTATATATGTACACACACACACACACACACACACACACACACACACACACATTACAGCACGTCTATTATGTTCATTTGCCAATCAGCACAAAACAAAATGAAAAAAATTATTAATTATATTATTGCACACCTAAATAAGGTTTACAAGGTATGGTTCGCCTGAGTCTACAGCGACCTAGAACATTGTAAGGAGGGTCGAGCCCTGACTACTGCTTTTTCGCTCCCATCCCACTTTACCCCTTTCCCTAAAATGTCTTTGTGGATGCGCCTTTGGCCGCAAGCAAGATGTGAATAAAATATCGCAAGGACTATTTAATTTGAGTAGCTAGCGAACGGTAGCAAACACAGCTGATTTCCACAATTACTTTTTAAAGATAATCGCCGGCAGAGGCACCGCACTTCAGCGTCCGGGTCGCCCATTGGCTCGCCGGTAGTCGACTTCGTCGCCGGTCGGGACAGTATTTGGGTCACTCCTAAGATCGCAATAACACAGCAGGAGTCCTTTTCGGGACTCTTAGTGGTGTGCAATTTTATACTGTGTAAATAACGTAGTCACAATTATAACCTAAAGCTCTGCATTCAGGGATGCTGGTTACCTTGCTAGTAAATCCCCTGCCTACCTACAGAGGCACCGACATCACAAATTAAGGGGGATAAGGGGGAAGAGGGGATGGATCTCTGCTAATACATTTTCTAGAGGAGGACCTTTGTGCGGACCTAAGCCTTGTTAAACCTTTAAAAGTCAATGACTAAGCAACAAAAGGAAATCAAAGTTAACATTTTGAGTGCATGCATCTTTCTTGTAGCAACATACGGATTTTTGTCGCAATCTATCTCCCAGTCTTCAAAGAATAAAAATAGGGGCTTTTGAGCTGAAGTGCTATAGAACGATTCTCAAAAGTATACTAGTAAAAAGAGGAATAAAAAATACTGACATTTTAATGTATCTGAACATCAAGGAAGTTTGGCTAAAAAACAGCATCTTGTCTCGAAAGCTGAAATATTTTGGCCATATTAAGCACCACAGGCCCGGTTAGCTAGCGTAGTTGGCTAAACCCGACTTCGCGACGACCGGGTGCCTTTTGTTCCGGGTTCACGACCGGGGGTAGGCAGAAAAGCCACATTTCTCCCAGATTTATCGTTTTTATCATGGAATCAAGGCAGAAGGGTTGCGATTTCCAGAGTACCGAGCCAAAGGATTAGAAACTCATGGTTTCTGAATATTAAAAAAACACACACAAAAACTAAGCACCACGGCGGATTAGAAAATAAAAATAATAGCAGAAGACATGGAACAAGGAAGGAGTAGCAGGGGTCGACCATCACAAAGATGGGCACATTCAATAAGTGATTTAATTTAAATGAAAATACGCGAAGTGGAAGAACTGGTGAAAGAATGAGTTTCTTTGAGGCAAACCGTGATGAAAACCAGGTTCTGTAAATGACTTGTTTCATGAGGATGATAATGATGATGGTGACTAAAACTTTTAATCACACAACAGTATTTTTGAAACGAGAATACTGGGGGGGGGGGGGGGGGGGGGGGGGGGGAGAGAAGTTTTTGAAACTAACAACACATTATTCAGATTGCTCGTTTTTTAAAGCAATCATAATTGTCAACATTTTAAAAGTCAGGCATAGTTTTGTGATGGATGCCCAATTCAACGTGTAATGATATTTCTGACACACCCTGTAAAATAAAGATAATTATAAACTTGCTAGGCCTATTTCAGTGTGCGTGATAGTGATCAGGGTGGGAGAATAGCTGCTGCCGCTCTTCTGTATGATGAGCTACTTTATGAGAACACGGACATGACCAAGGCTGCCTGGGATCAACTGGCGAATTTTTTGATCAGGTTGCAGCTGGCATGTTTAGCTCGAAACTGTCCTTTGGCTACTGAGGAAGGAGACGGAGCGAGCACGCATGGAACTGTTTTGGGTGCGGTGATGTCGATTCCTAATTTATGGATTTATTTATTGGTCATTAACTGAAAAGCGATTTTAATACTAAGCCTAAGTGCATATTATGTTAAGCATAATTTGATTCCAACACGGTGTTTCGTTCCCCCATTAACTAACGAAGAGTTGACATTCTAGTAGTACCAGTTGCAACCAGTTTTTGTCCCCTTCAGTGTTGAATATCTTACAGAACCTCTACTAACACGTAAATTATTACCTGTGAACTGAGATGCACGAGAAACGCCACATTAACCTTTCAAGACAAAAGTTGCAAATCATTTTGCCAGATAGGCTATGGAAACAACAACATGCAGGAAATTCATTGAGAAACAAACTCAAATGGTTTGGTCATCCAGTAAGAATGCAGCCAGAACAACTAAAAAACGCAAACGATATACGTGAACAGATCTTATGTGAAGAGGTTGCCCTGCGAGAAGATTAACTGATGGCATTTGGGAGCTTCTATATTGACACAGATTAAGCATAACTATTGCTGATCATCAAGCAAGAAATCCGAAACTGTTCCTCCCCAAGGCGCTTAACGACAGACATCGACAGTGATCATGCTAGACTAGTATTTCGTTTACAGACTGTTGTATGTCGCTGTGTGATATGGTCAACATCATACCGACAGCCAATAATTTCCAAGACATCACCTGCTACACATTTTGAGCGGGATTGTAGCATGTCCAGGGTGTATTGCGATTTTGAACTGAAGACATTTGGGCTGATGGCGGACGTCTAGCCCCTACTACGCCACCGAGGCATTCAAACTCTCATTTAGTGTTTACCATTTGCTTAAATCATTTGCTTAAACCTAGTCAGGGATAACCTTTCCTGTCCGCAGATAAGAAACGTATTGTATGCTACTACACCAACTGGGCCCAATTTCGGCATGGAAAAGGCCGGTTTATGCCTGAGAACATTCCAGCTCACCTGTGCACCCACATTGTGTATGCTTATGCTGTGTTCAAAGACTTCACAGCTGCTGCATATCTTGGGAACGATGACTCAAAGATCTGGCTTGAGGGAATGTGAGTTATTTTATTTTGTTTTTTAGCTGTTTTCTATTGTGAACTTGTGAATAATTAGCTATTTCCATTACCAACATAGTCATTATTTTATGCTTCTTTTGTTCGATGATTAATTTACCTGTCTGCATGCACGATTTAGAATAACGTTTGAAGAACGTTTGTTAACTAATTTAATTATTAGTTTATTCGAAATTATGTCAACAATTTTTATTGTTATTATTAATAATTTAATCGGGTTTGTAATCTGCTGGGTGGGGTGGGGATGGGGGAGGGAAAAGGGGGGGGGGGTGGAATTTGTTCTTTTCTAAAGAGCATTCTTCTTGTAAGACTCCCTCAATAGATGACGTGCAGTCAATTTATTCCAGTGGTATAGCATACAACTTCGAACCGTGTGGGTTCCGGGGCCCTATTTTAGAGAAAACAAGAATAGACCCATTGCCAACCCAAAAGCATGCCTTGAGTGTTGACTAATTTGCAGCTTCCTTCGAAGTCGGAGCGCATCTGCCTAAGAGAAAAGGAACTAACAGTCTGCATACAAATTGGTCAGATCTATCAAACGGATGCACACGCAACACTCAGGTTCTGGAACTGGACTGCAGTCCAGAAGTGGACGAACAATAGGAACTTTCCACCGGAGTTTACAGCCGGGAAACACTAAGAAGAAGAAGAAGAAAATGGTTGCATATGGCATTTTTTCCCACAACGTTCGTCTTTGAAAATATCTGCAATCACTTGCTTTTTCGTCTTTTCTTTTTCCCTTCCTGATCTGTCCCATGCTCGCAAAACGAACCATTGTGTCTAGTTCTCATAAAGCCTTCTTCTTCTCCTTCTTCTTCTTCAGCATTCTTATCTGTTTAGCCTCTCAATGTTGGTCTTGGAAACCTATTGTAGGGGAAACAATAATAGACCCACTACCATTCCACCAAGCATGCCGGGGACTTCCTTCAAAGTCGTAGCGCATCTGCCCGAGGGGCAACGAACAACCAACTGCACACTAATTAGCCATTTAATCGGATGTACACGCAAAACTCAGGTCTTTGCTCAAAGCCAAAGTCCAATGAACGAACAGCCAAGACTTTCCACCGGAGCTTACAGACGGTTAACAAAGAAGAAGAAGAAAAAGATCTGCTTGACCAGCCGTTCCTCGGTGGTAAACTACTGAAAATAAAATTACCAAGCTAAACCAGACAACATCCAGTTGATGTTAAGATTGAGTTTAGCATAAGCAGACATGTTTCGCCGTTCTTTTTAATCGCCATAATTACCGATGGGGTCAGTGTTCTAGTTTTGCCCCATCCGTATGCCTAAGCCATCTAGGTATTTATCATGATGTAGCAGCTAGCCGCTTGCCTGCGGATCGCAAGGTTATGGGTTCTTTCTGAACCTAAAAATCACCTTGGCTTGCAGGTCAGCCCAGCACATAGTGGGTATCAGGTATAGTCCTGGAAATAAAGGGCGGCCAGCTTGATTTTGACCACATCGCCCACCGATTGCCGATTGGTTTAAAACAAATTTAGGTCAAGCCATGTATGCCCTATACGCCTAAAGACTTGAAAGAGGGTTTTAACTTGATCTGTTTATATCCGTCTTGCTAGTCATTAGCGTGTATATATATATAAATATACAGACAGTCTACCTCTGATTTTACTAATCAATTTATGTCTGTGAACACATATGTTGTCAAACCATTGGGCTCCTGCTTAACCCTGCTAGATCCTTAGGTTGCAGCGAACAGGGAACACATTTTACGTGAGGCCGTGGGCGACAGCAGGATCAGCTAAAAAGATGAAGCTCTTGGATAACACAGGAAGAAGTCATCATCAGAACTGTTTTTACTACTGACAAGATAGCACAGGAAACAGTCATCATCAAAACTGTTTTTGCTACTGACAAGATAGCACAGGAAACAGTCATCATCAGAACTGTTTTTACTACTGACAAGATAGCACATGCTGAGGAATTGCTTACAGAGCCACCTAGCGAAACAGACTTTCACTGTGTGCTAGTTCTTTGGACCGAGGGTGCCGGATGTGGAAAGCTAGTCAGAGGCATCGGTGCAAGAGTTGTAAATGAAATTTTACTCTTTTGAGATATGGCTATATTATACACAGAGGGTTCTATAGTGAGAGGTAAAAAGAGAAAATAGGGTTGTGTTGCAAATGTCGATAGACACTATTCAAAAAAAGAGAACCTTGTGTATAACGTCATAACATCCAGTATGAGAATGGAGGCTGATGCGGTACCGGCAGTTTTCCGATGTCTTAAGAGCAGCACAGCGGTTTTTTTTTTTTTTTTTAGATACTCACAGCGCATGTTTTGGAAAATATAAACTGGCATCCTACGCTTAGAGTGGCTTGCATCCGTTTTTATGACACTGATCAGGAGAACATCGTGGATTTTCTGTCCAAGACAATCGGGTGTGCCAGGTGACGAACAAGCTTATAAACTAGCTGCTGCCTCTTCTACATGGCCCGACAATTAAGTTATGCGACTAATTCCATAAACATTAAAATAATCAAAGCTAAAGCTATAACCTGTATCTTATTTAAAGCAAGCCCCTTGTGCATTGATACAGCAAGTGACACCATCTAACAAAACCCTGGAACGACCTCTGTAGTTCTTCTATTGTTATGGCCCCTAAAGTCGACGTTACGGCTCTGTGGATGTCATTAATATAGTCAAAGAAGTGTCCTTTCAATCATAACTTTAGTTTTAGGAATAGAAAATAATTACAGGGAGACAAAGCTGGGGAATAGGGCGGAAGACTGAGATCACACACTTGTTTTGGGGCCCAAAATTCTTGTTTTGATGATGTCTCTTGGGTACTCAACCCGCTGAAGTTTTTGGTCGTCAGACAACGAATGTGGTACACACCGTCAAGCAACTTTTTGCTTGCCAAAATCTTGCAAGAAAATGTTATGAATGGTCTCTCTATTAACCTGCCATCATCCTCACAGTAAAACAATGATCTTCTTGTAACCGTTCTCCGGCTTTTGCAGTTAGTTCATAAACATAAATTTGGCGCCCAGATTTAGGTGCTTTAGTCATAATTTCCACACAACTTTTGAATAGTGAATAACACCTGAAAATTTGTGCACAAGATAAACAGTTATTCCCCTAAACTTGTTGCATCAATTTTCAATTGGCGCTTTTTCTAAGTTAAAAAAAAAAAAAAAATTAATAATAGCCTTTCGCTCCGTGCTGATTGCATAGCAATGTCTCTCTGCCTAGGTCAACAAAATGGCGGCTTGTTTGTTGTCTGATTATTGAGCAGCGAGGAAAAGTTGCCAGATCATAGATGAATGTTGCCTCTTTAGAGTCCATGCTTTGCTTTATAGATGGCATTTTCGTCTTAGCCATAAAACAGGCTCATTACTTAATTGTCGGACCCTGTATGGTTGGTGAGCTACATTATGATAAAGTGGAAGTAATAAATGCACTATGGGATCGGCTGGACAATGCCACAGAACAGACTAAGCATCCGTACATTGACAGGCTACTTCAAAGAGGGTTAAGCGAAGGGTCCGGAAGATATTCAACACTGCGGGGGAAACACAGGCGAATTTTTAATCAGGTTGAACTTGTACTATTAACAACTCTCTCTTCTTTGGCTACTGAAGGAGCTGAAGCACGTGTAGGATTGCTCCAATTGGCAGCGATGTAATTTATTTTTTTTTTAAGTTAGTTAATTCATTTATTAACTTATTTTTCTACAAGGTATGGTCGTGTATTGAGAATCAAAAACAAAAATCCAGACCTGAAAATTCTTCTGGGAATTGGCGGAGGAAATTCTCCTGACACAAATTTGGAAGATCTAATATATGACACATCCATGCTGGAAAATTTTGCAAAGAGTATAGCGACCTTTCTGGAAGAGAGAAAATTTGATGGGCTAGAAGTATCATGGCAAGTGCCTTCATCTCGCTGGAAACCTAATTTCTCGTATTTTCTTCAGGTACTGACAATCAGTAAAACTGTCAAGTAAACAGATAACTACACGTGACTTGTGACACTGGCATTTCAATTTCTTTTTCATGCACCCTCAGTAACTCACACGCACGCACACATACACACACACACATACACACACACACACTTACACACACTTTAACAAAGAATCATTTGTCATCTTTACACTTCAGGATGACTACTATGCAATCAGTGTTGTCTTTCGAAATATTATATAGCGAAACAAAATCTGAGGAGCGGGTGGCAGAGTAAGGAGCGGCTAGCCGAACGGTTAGAACTCTAGGCTTTCATGTGGGAGACCCGGGTTCGAATCCTCCTTGAAACTATGGATTTTTTTTTCTGAGGGGCAAAATAAAATCCTCACCTGCACAGTCGTGTTGACAGCACAAGCCATGCGACCTCTAGCTCAAAATAACCCACTGCCTACACCTCAAAAGTGGTATATAAAGTGCAGAAACAGTCTCTCCCATTGTACCATCTCGTGCTACTACCATAAAACCCAACAAACGAACAAGTACATTTTTATTTTTTTTTATTTTTAGCCTGGGTGATTCCGACCATTCTAGGCGGAAATTGAACAGTAGACATCAAAGGTTATGAAACTGTAAAACAGATGCATTTACTAGCATTTAAGCCACAGGGTCGCATCCTGCAACGCAAACAGGTGGCTTCTTCAGTTGCTTGTGATACTACATTCTCTGATTTCTCACATTAGATTCAAACCTTTTCCTGTAAAAGGCTGTAGTTTACTTCGCGTTTCCCGACCTGCAATCTCCAGCAGAAATTTCTGGTTGTTCCTCTATATCTGGATTTTGTTTTATTTTAGGTCTCCAGTGTTGCTGCATATCCGTTTTACATATCTAGCTTTATATGTATGCAGACTGCTGGTTTCTAACATTTTTAACTTCAAAAGAATCAATTTCCACTTCAAAGGAATACACCCCCCCCCCCCCCCATCCCCAAATTGTCAACTCCTACTAAATGGGGCCCCAGAACCCATACGGTAGTACAAGCCAATGTCCCCTCTCTACGCTAGGAGAGACACCGAGCTCATTATTATGTACAGGTGTATTCTGTAACACAGTATGCACTGCAAAACGGCCGCTACATATGTTCCTTGTGATATCAACCTTTTCAATGTACTTTTTTTTTCAAACCTCCAGTGTAACAGGTTTTGTCGTAGAGTAGCGTCTAGATGCTTGCCTGCCCCACATGAAGGTTTGTGGATCAAATCTGCATCTTGGCGGATTCCATCCGCCCCCCCCCCCCCGCCCCCTTTCCACTTTTTTAGAATTTGCCATGTGGGAAACAGCCCTGACGTAGTCTGCGAATCGAAAGGTCGTGGGTTCGGGTTCTGACAGAGCCGTACATTGTAAAACAAATGACCAACTGCTGGTTTGTCTGTAAAAATATAGGTCTAGCCCTATATACCCAATAAGCATGAAGGCGTGAACAAGGATCCTTTACTACTTACTTAATTTCTTTACTTTGGGGCTCCTACGTTGACCTAGCTAGGATACTAACATGGTAATGTCTTGAAAAGCAAAGTCTTTTCAAGTTATGTTAACGACGTCACCCATTGAATATAATTGACCTATACAAATATAGGTCTAGAACTATAGGCCCAATGCCTCGAAAAAGTGGCTTCTCAACTCAGATCCCCCACCCCACCCCTCAGTACAGGACCCTATTCTGGAGGAACCAAGAATAGACTCACCGAGCTCTAACAAGTATGTTGTAAAAGCCTACTAATTAGGTATGTTTCCTTCTAAGTCCGAATGCAACCGCCTTAGAAGTGATGAACCTATAGTCTGCCACAAGAAAGCCAGAAACTGTAAAACCTATGTGTACGCAAAAGACATATTCTGGAAAACGATCAGTTGTAGCACGAACAACCAAAACATACTGCTTGAGTTTATTGAAGCCGGTGAATCCTAGGAAGAAGAACAACAATAATACGAACACTTACATTTTACTCTTCCCATTTATTAAGGGTATGCAATGTTTACAAGGCGCAAAGAAGAATTTTTAATCGGTTTAGAAATGGCACCACCAGTATGATAATTCTTCGATGGCCACTGAGGGGGCTGCGTGGTCTCGAGGCATGGTGTCCGCCTAGACGTTCCGGGTTCAATACCCGTTAAGGGCTAGGATTTTTTCACGTTGACTTGGACTTCTAGTAATTCCCAATGGTCTCTGGGTAGTCAGATCGGACGCCGTGTGCATTGTTGCGCACGTAAAAAAAAATACCTTGGCAGTTAGAAATCAAAAAGAGTAGCCTAACGGCGCTGCCCGGGCAAAATTTAGTATTAAAAATCTAACCAAAGTATTTCAGGATGCCCGCCGATGCTACAGAGCCTGTGCACAGTGCTGAGCTTTTTTTTTTTTTTTTTGACTCAAGACTTAAGTTAGAAGAAGAACGGAGCACTTTTGGTTTACACTCATGTGCCATGATGTTGGTTCATTCTTCAAAACCTTAAACCTCAATTGCCACTGAGAAAGGGGAAGAGCAGGCATAGTTTTCTATTGCTTTCATAAGGGTCGGCTCTTGATACTACTGCCAAAACCAACGCAAAACAATCTGCTGCCAAATCGCCCACAGCTGGAATCAAACCCGGCACCCCTGCATTACAAAGCCAGTTGGCAACGCCTAAGCCACAGACACCGATTATGTACTTAGTCATAAACAATTAAATGTATGTTTAATTATACGTGTATGTCACCCAATGCAACGTTCTATGCACCAGCACGATGTATCTTGCATCCTTCCACAGATACTGAAGACGACCTTTGAAAAATACTTAGTATTCCATGAACAACCACGGCTAATTCTCTCCGTTGCGTTGACAGCCTCCAAGGAAAGAATTGAAGCAGGATATGGTGATGAGCTCCCTCGCATCGCAGTGTAGGCTTCAATTACATGTTGATACATACAAACACACACACAGCCCGCACACGCACACAATCATTTATGCATGTTTTCAACAGTGGCTATGCAAGCTCAAAACGAACTAAGAAATTTGAAAAAGCAGATGTCACAACAGTTTTCTTAATGCTGTTTTTAAAGGCTTAGATGGCTGGGACATAGTTGGAGGTGGATAAAGTAGAGTCTCTCGAGACATCCTCTGTGGTGATTTACTAATGGTTTGAAGACGTCAAGATCGGCCTAATCGGTAGGCTAATGTTCGCTAGTGGGTCATGAATAATACAGTACTGAGGTAGATTTTTGGGATCAGGATGTCATTGGATGTGCTGCACGTGGAGGAAAAAAATCAGGAAAGGGGGATGTGGTAAAAGCAGAAAATGATTGCAGATAAGTTATTAGCTAGGCATCCAGTAAAAGCACAGTATTATATGCAACGGCAACAACGGTCCTAAAATGGTATGCTCAAATTGTGAAAGATTCTTCCTAATTAGAGCTGGTCTTTGTAGTCACCTCGCTATAGCAAAGTTTGGTTTGTCCAAAGCACTACTTATCTAAAAAAGAGCAAAAGGTGCCAACTATATATATATATATATATATATATATATATATATATATATATATATATATATATATATATAGTGCCAAATGATTTTTTACGTGCGCAACAATGCACACGGGCGTCCAAACTCACTACCCAGAGACTAGGGGGAATTATATATAATATATATATATATATATATATATATATATATATATATATATATATATATATATCATCATCATGTAGCAGGTCCTTTGCAGAACGTCGCTCTCATCACAGTCTGCCTGTAAGAAACTCGGTCCCTTGCCAGTTCTCCCGCCTCATGAACTTTCACACTCAAGGAGTCCCTTTTATCCTGTGCCCATCTTCTTGTCGGTCGGCCTCTGCCCCTCCTTCCTGGTACCATGCCTTTTGCTATAATTTTTTTTCCAATCCGTCGTGGCGCTTGATATGACCAAAATATTTCAGCTTTCGAGAAAGGATGCTGTTTATTAGCCAATCTTCCTTGATGTTCAGATCTTTTAAGATGTCAAAATTTCTCATCTTCTTTGTCCAAGATATTCTGAGAATCTTTCTATAGCATTTCAGCTCAAAAGCCCCTATTCTCTTTCTTAAGGACTGAGAGATAGTCCACGACTCACATCCGTATGTAGTCACAGGGAAGATGCATGCTCTCAAATTCTAATTTTTATCTCCTTGCTGGTGCTTAACTATAGACTTTTGAGGCTGTCCAATCTTTTCATTGCTATGGCCATCCTTTTAATTTATGTCAAACAGTCTCCATTGTTGTTTATTATAGAGCCTAGATATTCAAAGTTTGTGACATTTTCAATGTCTTCATCATTTATTGTTATTTTTGGGTGACAGCCAGTTTTATCTGTGGACATTATTTTCGTTTCCTTTAAATTCAAGAACAGATTTTGATCTTCACTGTGCTTTTGGACGGACGATATTAAATTTTCTATTCCCTTTACACTGTTCGGAAGGAGGACTGTGTCATCTGAGTAGCGGAGTGTCGGAATAGGGTTGCCACCAATTTTGAGTGGATCATAACTGTCACAAGTCTGATCATTTCTGACATTTGTCATTATATTTTCTGCGTAGATATTGAAAAGGTATGGTGAGAGAATGCACTCCTGCCTCACCCCCTTTAGCACCTCGAACCAATCAGATGTTTCACCAGCTGCTCAGATGGCTGCTATATGTATATATATATATATATATATATATATACATATATATGTATGTATATGTATGTATGTATTAGAGAGAGAGAGAGAGAGAGAAAGAGAAAAAAGGAGAGAGAGAGTACATCTGTGTGTGTGCAAAAATGTGTGTGTGAGCCCAGTGTAAGTAAGGTTCTGTCTGTGTCTACATCTATGTTTGTGCATCTCAGACTATATTTCTGTAGAATGTGCAGCTAAACAGCTCGTGTGTGTGTGTGTATATATATATTTATATATATAAATGTATATATATATATATATATATATATATATATATGTGTGTGTGTGTGTCTGTATGTGTGTATATGTATGTGTGTGTGTGTGTGTGTAAGTAAGCCATTCGCGTTTATCATTTACGTTTCAGTCGTTTGAATCTTCTCTCCTCAGCTGCGCTGATTTCATATCCCTCATGACCTATGATTTCCACGGAGGCTGGGATGCTCACACGGGCCACAATGCTCCTTTGTTTCCCAATTCAGACAAACTTAGATATGACCAACGCCTCAATGTGGTGAGCATCGACATTTTTTAAATAAAATAGAGTTATTTTCCTAACTCCCTTCACAAAATGTGAGTAAGAAGAGGATACAAATAAAAATCGTAAGCACTGTTAACAAGAACTTGAAGAGAAACATTCACATAAATTGAAGTGTCAAATAACAAAAGAAACAATTATCAGCAACTGATTTGTTGGTGTCTAAATATTAATATAATGACAGCTTGTCTTGTTTTAATGTTATCACAAAGACTAAGAATATTGGTTATGTTCAGTGTGCTCGATTTCACAAAGTTCACCACTCGTGTAGCTAGCTATTCTTTATTATTACGCATATATTTCTTTGTGTTATGATAGAGACAGAATCTGAGCACTTGTTTGAGGAATTAAGACCAGCACTACAGAATTTGAAGAAATGGACAGTCTCCAGTATTTGATGACGTACCAGCAGAATTTTATAGACGGTGGAAAGAAACCAGTTTCCACATAGATCATGATTCCAGCACTAACTCATGGATGCAAGAGTTAGAAAGCAACAGTAGTTCTTGATTAAAAAAAAAAAAAAAGACAATTTTGAGAACAGATGTCTTAGAAGAATACTGAATCTCCACTGGACATATTTCAGATCCAATACGCAAATAAGGCAAGAGACCAAGCAAGAAAATGTATCTAAATGTATAGCAAAGCGCCGCTGGAAATACATCGGCCATACACTCAGAATGGATAAGACAAGACTCCCAAAGCAAGCCCTCATATCGATATCGTAAGGGAAAAGAAAACGGGGAAGACCAAGAGAGACTGTGCGTAGAACCAACATCAGGGAAGGCTCAGCTATGGGCCTAATGAATATCAAAGACCTCAATCAGGTAGCAACGAAGCGCCAGACAATGACCTCTGCCATAAGCGCCGCCCTAGGTTAAAGAGTGAAAGAATAACTAACTGTGTGAGCAGTACTGACTGGCCCAAAGAATGGAAAAGACCAGTCTACATTCCTCTCCTGAAGAACCGAAATCTTAAAATCAAATCATGTCTCAGCTATAGCTCTGATCAGCAATGCTAGCAAAGTCCTTATGCTTATCATCTTGAAGACAATTATTTATGGAAGTAGAATATAAATTGCAAGACGCACAAGCATGTTTTAGATGAGGTAGAGAACAAGGAGATAATATTTTTAACATGATATTCATTCTAGAAAAATGTGGAGAGTGTTGAGTAGATCCTCGTGCATGCTTCATTGTTCACAATAAGGCTTTTGTTTGTGTTCAACACCCATACATGTGGCATATATGGAGATGCATGGGATGGTACATCTAATGGACTTTCATTACCGTGAACAGCAAGCAACAGTCAGAGTAGCTAGTGAAAAATTCTGAAAATTTTATGAGAAATGCAATTAATGGCGAGGCCTGTGAGAGCTTCGATCCACTTAAAATTGGAGGCAGCTATCCCAGAACTTTGAAATAGTTGTCCGTTTCAACAGTGTTTAAGGCTTAGAAAAAAATAGTACCGCGCAGTGAAGAAGACAATCTACGTCTAAATCTGGACTAAAGATGTGATACTTCACAAGCCATTTTATTCTATTGTTTGAAAGTACCTGTTGAATAGAATTTCATCTTTGCACAATCTTTTTTTTTTTTTTTTGGCACTGTCATTATTTTTGTATCACTAAGACAGACTCACATTGAAAACGACTACACAGAAAACATGTTATTAGTAATGACTGTGATGTTTACTTTCACAATGTGTGATTTGCATGTGCTTTCAGCCATTTCTGCCTATGTTTACCATCTTGGTGGTGTAGGCAAGAGGGGGGGGGGGGGGGAGGTGTGTCTTTGAGACTGAACATTTTGGTGCGCATGACTAGTGTTGTTGCTACGGACTGTGCAGGTCAGGATGTTTGTGTGTGCCCCCGTCAGAAAACAATGCACAACGTTACCAAGGATCTGAACCTGGGTTTCCGGCATCATAGCCCAGCGTTCTTAACCATTTAGCCAGCAGCCAAACACAGCACAATGGAAAGTACGGAGATAAGTTTTGTTCAGAATATATTCTCAACGTAGAATGAATTGCACATGTTTGTATATTAATTAGAATTGCAACAGTTGATGCAAGACCTGCTCATGAATATTGAAAACAAAACAAACAACAACAACAACAAAATCCTCGGATTTTTGTTTCAAAATTTTAAATTTATTTTTTTCAAGAATGGAAAACGAAAGGAAACATAGAAGTACTTGGATGTACACTTCAACTACTCCAACATGCTGAGACATAAATACGATCTAGAAGACAGTCTGGAAATAAAGTATACTTTTCCCGTCAACATCTGCTGAAGTCAAAGTCTCTATCTTGCAACACCTGAAGTTAAAATATACAACACGTCGATAAGACCTGGCGTTTTATATTGCTCTGAAGCTTGGAGCACAACTAAAAAAATTATAAAGACTTATTACCATTTTTTGAAAAACAGTCTTACGACGAATCATTGTACCAATCAAAGATGCAAACAGTGGGGAATGGAGTGTGAGAAGCAACTACAAAATTCATTATCTGTGTAAATCACCATTGATCACTGGCATCGTTAGATCTAAAAAAACTGAAATGTCTAAGGCATACTGTGAGAATGTCAGATGACACAAGGAAGCCTAATGGTCGTAGACCACGAGGTCAACCAAAAAGATCATGATAAGATAAAGTCCAGACAGACCTGCAAATACTTGGAGTCACCAACTGGATAGGGTAATGGCAATCAAAGAGATGAATGGAGGCGGATGACATCTGCAGGAATAAACTCCAAGGGTTCGGAATGCTAAAGAAGAAAAAGTAAATATGCATTCAGCTTCAAAACGTCTTCAGTTCCTCTTGAAACTACTCGACCACGTTTTCCCCAAAACCATTGCTCACCCCCCCTCTTGTTATTTTTTTTTTTTTTTTTTCACGAACGTATGTTTTTGTAATGTCTGTTTTGTAAACTCACAGACTAGAATGTATAGTGATTTAACAGCAGCATCGTAGGCCTGTGAAAATTGAAAAGTGTTAGCCAGCGGGTCATATAGTTTCCCCATACCAAGTAATTCCAAAGACTCCTCTGTAACAACCACACTTTCGAGACCTTAAGAAATAGTTTGGCTGCTTAAATAATTGTACCAGGATTCAAAGCCATACTCCTGTAAATTCAAGTATTTTTTCAAAAACAGTAAATGACTTTGTAGTGCAAGTACTCCCGATAATATATTACAACTACTTCACACAACTTAGCTGCGGTTAGTGGGGAGTTGGCATTGGCCTGTCCGTCCGACAGGCTTGGGTTGGATTCCGTAAAGCGGCTAATTATTTTTCAAGAAATGACCATGAGCTCCCAGCTCAACCATGCCTAAAATGTGTTGCATGCAATATTTTGAGAATTAAAGGCAGCTGTAATCGAGTGTCGATTAATCTGACCAACGTGAGTCTAGAAAATAGATGCTGATGGACAAATGAACATGTAAAGGGTCCTTTTATTACCACATAGAACCTTTACCTCTTACACAAGGTGTTACCCACATAATTCAATCAGTCAATCAATCAAGTGTCGTCTTTACAATGAAGGTCTCTTCTCCTGGCAGTAAACTTTCCGAAGCTGCTGTTCGTCAATCTCTTGATGTTGTCCTCTCACTTTTTTTTATTGTCTGCCTATTGCCATCTTGCCTTCGATGTTTCCCTCCAACATGGTTTTTAGAAGAGTGTTATGATTTTTAATGTTTTTATGTGGCCGAAATATTTCAATTCTCTCTCTCTCTCTCTCTCTCTCTCTCTCTCTCTCTCTCTCTCTCTCTCTCTCTCTCTCTCTCTCTCTCTCTCTCTCTCTCACTCATTCTCTTTAGTTTTTTTTTGTAGCTCTCATTACCGCCGCAGTCTCTACAGAACCTCTATGATCTTTTCTTTTTTTTTTCTCCATAAAAAACGGACTTATTCTTCCTATTTCCACATACTCCATTGTCTAGATCAGCAGTTCTCAACCTCTGGGTCGCGACCCTTGTGTGAGTCGAACGACCCTTTCACAGGAAAAGCATCGACATAATTGTAAGGGTGGGGGTCACCACCACACGAAGAAACTAAAATGGTCGCCACACTAGGAAGGTTGAGAGCCACTGTTCTCTTGTGTTAGCTATTGTACGGGGCTTTGCACACAACAGCTGAGAACTACACATGGTAAAACAGCCGCTGAAGCAGTAGTAATATAAAATCACATCTTTTACAAGACCACACTTTGTTAATGATTTAATAAATACATCTTGGTGACTCTTCTCTCCACTCACAGGACTGGGTTGCCAAGCACTATGTGAAACTCGATATTCCAAAATATAAAATTAACATTGGTGTCGCCACCTATGGTCGCTCATTCACTTTAGCTGATGGGGAAAATCACAATTTACTGGCTCCAGCAAAAGGTCCGGGAACCGCTGGCAAATTTACTGGTGTAGCAGGACTGTTAGCATATTATGAGGCAAGTACAAAAAAAGAGCATGTGATGCGATTCTTTATCTGTCGAGGTGAGAAAGAGATTTATTTAAAGAGTTGCCCTGCCATTTTACATTTTTCATTAAGTCTGCAAGTTGTCACTAACTTATCGAGGTTAATCCATCTCAAAACATGGGGGGGGGGGGGGGGGGGGGCGGGGAAACAGAAGACACAAACGTGTTTCACTGTACAGCCTTGGGTTTCTTGTGTCGGTCTATGACAGCCACTACATTCTGCTTAGAAACCACATTCCATTTACAGGTCTGCTTATTGGGTTTGTTTCCTATACATACACCTGTATATGTTCCGTGTAATTTTTTAACACTGCTCAGTTTCGGTACTGAATATAATCATTTATTTTAGTTTGTATATATTTAATATTTTAATATTTGAGTCCCCTGGGGTTTTTGCATCAAGCCCAAGAGCAGTCAAAAAAAGCGTAAAAGGCGCATCTTTAGGGAGTTGGGGTTCTAGGTAGGAAAAAATGAAAGTATAGCTCTTTGGGGTCAAAGAGTAAAGTTTTTTTATTTTTGACATTGACAGGGGGCGTATTTTCAGAATGGGTCCCCCTCGGTGTAGAGGGTTTCCCGGGGTTTAAACCGGGAAGGCTGGAATTTTTTCAGGGACTTGGACTCTAGTAATTCCCCTATTCTTGGGTAATGAGATTGGCGCCCGGGCATGGGCACTTTAAAAAATTTTGGCAGTTTAAAATCGAAAAAACTAGATAACAGCGTGGCCCGGGGTTAGTTGGAGTTAAAAAACTTCCCAACGTGTTTTAGAATCCCCGCCGGTACTTTGGGGCTGTTCGCTGTGCTGGTTTGGGATGAGTTAGAAAAAAACGGAGCATTATGGGTGGCCCTGAATTTTATCCGTTGTTTAAAAATCAAACCTCACTTGAATTTTTTAAATTTGTGGGTTGTTCTGTTTTTACATAAGGTACAAAGGCCCCAAAGACCAT